AAAAATTCAAAAGTTTTCATCCTTCTTCACCTACTCGATCCTCTAGTAAATTTATGAGAATTAAAGAGGGGAGATTGTTCATCGAAGACCTGCAAATGACTTCGAAAGGGTGATAATCTGTGATCCATGTTCTTTAATCTCTAAGAAAGTAGGAGAGAGTCCTTGCATGTGAGGTCTGATCATATTTTAAGTATGGTAGGATCTTGCATGCATCTTTAATCAGATTTATTATCTTTAAAACTCGTTGGAATCGGAAAATATTTTTCTGGAGTTTGTTCGAGGATGATGACTCAAACTAGAGTTTAAATTCTTGAAAATGATGAGCTTAAGACCCCTCCCTATCATTGCTGTCATTTTTGGTGCATGCAATCTGTTTTGGAGGCGTGTGACTCAAGATTGTAGGGTATTTAAGAAGAGACTCAAACCCACTTAAATATTCTTGATATTAGAAATTGACGGTTGTCATCATTGTTTTGGATGACTTAAAATGATGTCATTAGGTGGATTTCTGGAAGGTTCCTTTTTAAAAATAAATAATAAAAATATCGGCTTTATTTTATAAAAACCTTGATGGCATTGCATTGAAAGCAACTTTGCTTTATCTTGGGCAAGAAACCCTTAAGTAAAATTAAGTGCTGGTTGATGGTCTGTATAGGAAGGTCGGGCGAGCTTTGAAAGCTTCTAAGGGCAACCTCTGGATATTCATCATCAAACTAGTGAGTTCTTACGGCCCCACTTTTACTGCTTTTTGATTGTTTTATGGGGGAAAAGCATGAGATTGAGCAAACTATGCATGTTTATAATATGTGAAACCTTGGGACTAAAGAACTGTTTAGTCGATGCTTTGCTCAAAACCTTTGGACTAAGGAACTGCTTAGTCAAGTTTTGCTTGAAACCTCTRGACTAAGGAACTGCTTAGTCGGGTTTTCTAAGTTATTTTTGTTAACTGTTATTGCACTTGGAATAAATGCTAAATTGATGTGCTTGGGAGTATATTTTCCAAATAAAAGTCTCCGTTCGTAAACGCTACTTGTTAACTCAGGTACATCCCCGGGCCGTGGTATTGTGGATAGCCGCTATTGTGTTGACAGTCCCACCCAGAAAGGGGTGCACATTACCTATGTTTCTTGTCTAATCAAATGGAATTTGGACCACCGCTGAATTTGTACTTCTACAAACTGTGGGACCTAAGTAGTGTACGGGCTACCTATGGTTGTTCGTAAATTAATAGGGCAAGTTGGTCAGGTAAGGCTCAGTAGCGTCTCAAGTTTTACATCGTGAAAGATTTACATTTATTAAGTGCAAAGAATTCGCAAAAGTTTGCAAATATTTGGTTTATGCATTGAAATGTTTTATGCATTTGGAAACCCGTGAGCTTACCAACTCTTTGTAGTTGACCATGTTTTATTTCATGCTTTTCAGGATTTAAGTAAGGTTGGTTGAATATGTTTTGGGAGCATACTCGTGGCAAGATCGATTAAGTCCGAAATTGAAGTATTTTGGGAAAAGTTGTATTCATTCTAATTTCGGTTATGTCGATAAACTTGATTTGTTTATGCACAACTCGGAATGGTGTTATTTATTAACTGTTGCTATGACTCGCTTGCCTGTTACATCTCGTGTTTCCGCTTTAGCGGGGTGTGACAGTTCTAACCCTACCACGTTGCATTAAATGTGCATTTAATGCAATGGGTATAAATATATGTGTTATATCTCCATGCAGAGATAATCTTACTCCTTACTCGGAACTTACTTACAATTAAGTAAAAGAACACACATCTAAGAACAAAAACGCTCCTCTTCAAGAGCAAGTTAGAATCTCTTTGTTGTATTCTAAATAGTTTTTTCTTACATAGAACTTACTTTATTACAAGTCTTTAACAGAAAATCTTTTCTTTATTTGCTAAGAATTAGTGTGTAACTTTAGATTGTTTAGATAACTTTTATTTACCTTATCTTTCTGCAAACAATCTTATAAAATTTGTATTGATCCTTCTTTATCAATATATATTTTAAATTTGAAAAGTTTTCCGTGTTTGTATTCATCCCCCCCCCCCTTCTACAAATTGTTGTACACATCTTGTAGACCCTAATGGGACCAACAGTGTACATGTGGATATAAGAATGGCAATTGCTGGTATGGTTAATATTATAACTCTTGTTATTATTATTATCAGATGCAATAATTCTAAATCAGCATTTCTCTTGGCTTGATGATTTGGAGGTACTGTTCTCTTTAGAAATAATAACACTGATGTAACTGAGAAAGGGAAATCATTTATAACCAGAGGCATTAATTGCCTATGATTTCCAAAAGGTTTTTATCATGTTTGAATGTGTGAGAATGATACAGAGGGCCTCTGGTTGGACTTTGAAAAGGACCAGAGGTACCTCTAGTCATGTGGAAGACAAGTGTTTCAGGATTTTATGAACCAGAGGCTCTGTATCTTAAAAATGATTTTTGTATCAATATATCTGAGTTATGTATCAGAGCTCTGTCTTTTAAATTTTTTTTATAAATAAAACCAGAACCAGAGGAGCTCTAGTTCTAACTTATTTATCGTTAAAAAAATAAGGTAGGTCCTTTTTGCACCAGAGACTGTGTTGGTCAGAGGGTCTATGGTTGAGTATCGATTGGTTTAAGTAAATCGGCTCTGGTCAGTAGAACCAGAGGCTCTAGTAATCAAGGGCAGAAGAGCTCTGGCCCTTTGAGCCAGAGGAGTTTTATTGCAAATCTGTTAAGAGATTTTGAGTTCCAAGATGTTACATTTGTGCTAGGTGTTGTAGCAATCTGTTGGTTTTATATTTTAGTTAAGAAACAGATTTGCTTGTTTTCTCTAAAAACCATTTATCTCTATATAAAAGATGTTTTATTAGGTTTTAGTGATCTTCACCCTGCATTTGCAAATAAGGGATTTCTCACTAGACCTTCCGATCTAACCCTCATTTTTGTATTTAAAAAATGTGAATTCCAGGAACTGCGGGGTCTCGGGATAATAAGGGGAAGGGGAAAATATAATTATTTTCCTTATGTGTTATCTACTTTATGAAGATCAGCCTGATGCCTGTATATTTTGAAGTTATAAGTTGCTAAGGATATTCTTTTGGAATTTTTCATATGCTAATTTTATACATATAGAATCCTTTTACTATAGGGACCAATGTGGTGTAATCTATATTTCTTTTATTGGAATTATATGTTATATGAAAATGTGGAGTATGAGGTGTTATAGGAGAAAGATAAAGAGGTAGAAAATTTTTTTGCTGAAGAGGAGACTGCTGATGATGTTGCTGCTTTAATCCCTCATGCAGATGCTCTCATCCCTGCCATTAAGTATGTCATTAACGATGAAGACGATGATGATGTCGTGGTCGCTCATGTAGATAAAGAAGACCATCCCTCAAACTCTGTATTGCTAAATGCTAGTGATAATGATGATGAAGAAGACGATGATGAAGATGAGGGCGGTGAACCTCAACTACCTAATGTCGGCAATGATCTTGGCGATGATGATGAAGATTATGACGACGATGATGACTTTTGCATCTAAGTCATCCCAAGACAACCAATAATGAAAGGAATCTCCATATGGGAACAGATTCCCATGGGGAGAGACCTTTAGCTTCAGGGAACCAGCACTCTATAGATAAAGGCAATGGAGTGGTTGAAGACAATCTGGAGATTGTTCTGAGGGAAGTCAGCCAGTCTGAAGATGCAAACTTCTCAAGGTATGTATCTCTTCCCTCAGATGTTGAACCCTCTAATCCTCCAATTCTATTTGCATCAACAAACCCTATTGGTCTATCAACACATATCACATCTATGAAAGCACATATGAAAGTGAAGCTACATTTCCAACACTCAGGGAATCGCCTAGACAACCGGAGTGTTCAGAAGCTGATGAAGACCAGAGGAGGATTCAGCTGATAAATCAATTCTACCAAATAAGAGGAAAAATCTCTCTTCGTAACTCTGGTTGTGGCAAGTTCAATTTCCTCATTGATGCTGAACGAGAAGAGTCCCTGAAGGCTGAAGAAGAGTTGAAGCTACATTTACAACAACTGATAGGCAGTCTAGAGTTAGCCAAGACTCTAGATGCCTAAGCTCTAGCAAAAGGGAACCTTAAGAACAAAGATCCACTCAAAGCTCAAGCCTAACTATTGTAGAGAGTTTAACAAGAACATCAATTTGCACTTACGCTGAAAGATCAAGATCTGAACTAGTGCATGGAAATGATCGAAAAAAGGATAAGTCCCTACAATATCTCAAATGTCACCATCATCAGACAAATGAAGGATTGTGGCCTCCTAGTCTCAATGGTCATTTTCTGAGAGAATCAAGATGTTATCACCGAGTATCCTTTATACCTCGGTCAGTATGGCTTCTATTAGTAGGTGGAGATTCGACAGGCTATTCAGAGATCCAAATCCAAGCACAAGCCTGTGATTAAATATATTCTGAATGAATTATTCAAGAAGGTTTCCAAGATCATCGAAATCCCTCCTTTGTAAAACAAGTCGTCCTCTCGAAGAAAACACCTTTCAGAACCTGAATAAGGTCCATCCCACAAGAACAAGCACACGACAAAATTCGCTCTGGATGAACTTCTAAAAGATCGAAAGAAGCCACATCTCTTATTGTTGAACCTGTCACTGGCAGCGAAGGGTCCTTACATTCCCAACACTAAACACGTGAAACTTGAGTATGGACTTATGTTCATAGACTCTGACGATGAATACAGGTTTCAGTGAGTATCCGAGTTCCATTCTGTCCCATAGATCACTTAGAGTGTCTAAGAACTTGGCTAAATAGTGATCTACTTGGAGATATGATGGAGCGAAAGATCAGAAAGTGTTAGGACTAAAATTCAGTGCAATATTGTATTCGTCTTGAAAGATAAATATTGTCTATAAATAAAATAGACATCGTGTTAGACTTTGTAATTGTTAGTTTGACTTTGACTGAGCTTTAGTTTGACCCTATATAAAGGGTAAGTCTTTGTAATTTGAGTAGGAATTCAATTGTAATATTCATTTACGTAATAAGAAGGTTTGACCAAGATTAGAATATTTGATTTTCTCTCTCTACTCTCTCGTAGTGTTCTTAATGCAATAATCAGATCTTCCATGGAAATCATGAAGATTATCTTGAAGATTGATTGTTAGGGATCTACATTTGGTATCCGAGCAGGAATGTAGTGAAATCACATGAAGAAATCACAACTTTTGAAGAAACTATCTGGAATTTTAACTTCTGTTCATAGTGTTCTTCATAAGTGTTCTTCATTTTTTTAAGAATTTGATCCGAAAATTTGTGAAAATAGTGTGTTTTTGTGTTAAATCTTTGATCAAACTGTTCATAATTTCGTTGTCAATCTTTGTTATTCATAAATTTTTAGTGATTTGATCATCCGTTTTCAAAATCTGATGAAATTAGTGTTTTAAAATTTTTGGCGTTCATGGAAAAGTTTAAAAAAGAAATTTAGATTTTGATTCATTTTTTTATTGAATTTTTGTAGTTTTTGTGTTTGTTGATTTTGATCGGATTATGAATGTTGGTTGGTATCCTTTCTTGTTAAATCGCTTGGCATTGTTGATTAGCTTGTAACCTGATTGTGCATAAATCACTTGTTGCATTGATGACTTGATGACCGGACTTCTCAAATCTCTTGGCTCATACCTTTGCTTGTTGATTGGTTTACATATATTGCTTGACATTTCACTTGCTTTGTGACCGGATTTCGCTATATTGCTTGACTAGTCACTTGAGTTGTGTTCGGATATCTTTTCATCGCACAAAGCTTAGTCGATTTAGGTTGTTAATCGGACATACCTTAGCCGGATTAGTTTGTTCCTCGCACATAGCTTGAGCGATTTAGAGAGTTCCTCACGCATAGCTTGAGCGATTTAGAGAGTTCAACGCACATAGATTAAGCGATTTAGAGAGTACATCGCACATAACTTGAGCGGACTAGGGACTTAATCACATAAGGTGTAGGCGGATTATCCTGTAAATCGCATAAGGTGTAAGAGGATTAACCTGTAAATCGATCAAGGTATAGGCGGATAAGGCTGTAAATCGTTCAAGGAGTAGGAGAATTAGGCTGTTTTCGGACAAAGGATAAGGGTATAAATCTTACAGGGTTTGAGCAGATTAGGAACTTCATCGTTCATAGCTTACAGGGTTTGGCCGGATTAGGCAGTTTGTCTTGGTGACCGGATTAGCAATATCGCTTGAATAATCGTTCAAGGCTTGTCCGAGCTTAGTCGGACTCAAAGTCATCGATCATTGTTTGTCCGTGTTTGTCTGAGCTTGGCTTCCTAAGTCGCAAATCAATATTTCTAGTATCCTAATCCGGACATTGCATTGTCCGGAGTTTCTTTCTTGATCAAGCGATTTGGTGTTACACTGATTCCTCGCGTACACTTAGTGGTGATCATCTTTTCTCAGTCAACCTCATCTGATCCCGTGTCCGGATTACTAGTTTTTCTCGGCCAAGACTTAGGTGAATTTTAGCTTTTTTCGATTCAAGGATTCCTCATATATAGGCTTAGTCGGATTAGGAATTTCTCTTACTAAGGTTCTTCCGGATTTGCTGAATTTTGAAAATTCTACTGATTTTAACTGTTTTATTTGTTTTGGTTCAGTGTTTAAACTGTTTGAGTATGTTTGAACTATTTTTCGTCGCATAAACTGTTTCTTATCAGTTGTAACTGCTTTTGACTGTTTTTAACAGTTTTTAACAGTCTTGACTGTTTTTACTGATTTTTTACAGTTTTTCATCGTTTTTCTAATTTCTCATCAGTTTTTGTGTTTTTCTGTTTGTGTGTTTGAGCTTAACTGTTTTTTATTTCTTTTTATCTGATTTCACAGCATTTGATCCTAAATCAATCTGTTTGAAAATGACAGTTTTTTTTTAGAGAGAGAATAAAGAATTGAGAGAGAGAGAGAGTTGCTGAATTGGAAAGAAGAGTAGAGGACTACAAAGAAAATACATTAATATGTTTGATGAGAATTTCACAAATAAAGATTTTATCAAGAATCTGCAAGGAGAAAATAAAACCTTAAGATAAAATTATGAAAAGGTTTTATCAGTTAAGACTTGCGAATTTGAGAGAACATTGAACATTGTTAGAAAAGAATGCGAAGAAGAATTGAAGACTTGGAGTGATGCTAAAAAGAAATTATTCAACAACCTTCAAGATCTGCAAAATGTGAGGAATTCTTCTGAGAAAGTTAATCCAGAGACTGAGAACTTACCAGGAAAACTTCATAAATCTGAGAGTGATTTGTGTGAGTTAAGAAATGAATTTGAAAAGGAGAAGAAAAGATTTTCCGAAATAGAGAAAAAGTTTGATGATGAACGCTTATCTTATGAGAATAAGATAAACTCTCTTGAGCTGAACGTGAAAATGTTGTTAAAGCAAATATCATATTTTGAGCAGTTGATATTCTTGGAACGAGCCAAGAATGATAAAGAGAAGAAATATCAAAGAAGAATGTCTGATCCCGAATAAGAAATTAACTGATAGCAATACTCTAAAGTAGAAGGCTTTAGATGAAGAGAAGAAGCAATTTGCTCTTGAAAAGAGAAATACTTTAAAGAAATATACAGCTATAGCTAAAGAGCTTGCTAAAAAGAAAAAGTGGCTCGACATTGCTTATGAGAATGAGAAAAGCAGCTCAGATGAAGAGAGAAGAAAGTTTGATAATCAGAAAAAGAAATTTGAGAAGTTGAAGAAGGAGTTAAAAGGTAAACTCTTGGATACTTCAAAGAAATTGTTTGATCTGAGGACAGAACTTGAAACTGAACAGAAAATGAGAAATGAACTTAAAGAGACGTATGATTTAGTTGCTGTTGAACGAGACCAGCTTTTAAAGAAAGTCAAAGATTTTACTTGTGCTCAAAGCTTAACTAGTTCTTTCTCACAATGTAAAACCAGCTTTAATGACTGTTCCAAATCAAACAGTTATTCATGCAGCTCTAAATCAACTATTTCTAAGAACTATTCTTGTTCTTCTAATCAGTATTATCAAGGGTATGTTATTGGATCACCCAATTATCATTCTTCAAACGTTAGAAGTATTTGGGTTAATAAATCTGAATCTGTTTCGTCTCGTACTTCTGTTGTTACTAACAATAATCTTCCTTGTTTTGTTAGATCTACTATTGACTTGATAAATCTTAGCAAGAGAAGAATCATGTGTTCCACATGCAAGAATACTGATTTTGTGAATAGGAAAAGGTACAACAGCTGGACTGGAGACACAGATTTCAGAAAAGTTGGAAAGGTAATAAAAGGTATGATCAAAATAACTGGTATGGATCTTACAACGTATATGATCAACCTGTTAAAAGTGCGAAAAAGAAAACATCAAACAAAAATAGATGGTTTGACAGTTATAAAATTCCACAACCTGATACTAACAAAGAAGGACCCAAGTTTATTTGGGTACCAAAATCTGTTTGATCTTATTTTGTAGGTGTGTCATTATCGCGCTGATCAGAACATCATGCTTATGATGCACAAATTCAGGGGGAGTTGTATA